TCCATAGGTTAAATAGAGAAAACACGAATGGCAATACTTCTGAATCTAGTTTTTAAGTTGTTTTTCAAATGAATTGATTTCAAATAATGACATATCTCCATCTAGGATTTGCTATGTGATTAAAGGAAGGTTATATTCAATGTTGGTCGTGCTAATCAATTCAATGTTGTTCTTCACATCATATTTTGAAATTTGTGCTTTATATGAAGTACCCACTTGCTATGTTGATTTCTTCAACTATTTTCCCCAAGATAAGGTTACTCTTTTATTGTGCTTATGTCCTATCTTGAAAATTTTGTGCCTTTTATGCATACTCTTTTGATGTGCTAATTTATTCAATTTTTTTCCACATAATAAACTTACTTTTGTATTATGCTTCAATTTCTTCCAAAATATTTGTTCAAACAACTATTTTTCTCAACTTTCAATATGCATGAATTTTGTCCATTTAGGAGATGACAATTTCACATTGAACGCACAAAGAGCATATTAACCTCTTCACTTTTTCCTTGGAATGAGCAATCTTTGAAGAATTCATAGAAACTCATGCATACACACATTTGTGGTGTGTATATCCACCAATTTGTGTGTATAACTTTTTAATGGATTTGATGTTGCTTATTTGTAATCAGACATTTCCTTGCTTCAAAGCTCTAACATATCTACAAAATGAATTAATTTGCATTTAGATGTGGTGAAAACTTTGAGGTTGTCCTGTTGTAGAGGTAACATGATCTTCTCTTTAGGATCGTTTGGCAATAATTATCTAAATTTCTGAAGATTGTCTAACCTTGTGGAACATCTAACACTTTTTTCTGCTATGAGTTCTAGCATGTTCATAATTTATGTATTTTGAATCTCTTCTTATAAGCCTTGTAGTTATGCAATGGTTTTTTCATAGGCATCGTGATTGAAGGAAATTTTGTCATTTTTTATTTTTGCCTTTCTTCTCTGAACATTTCAACATCTTCTTCTTCTTTACATGCATACTCTCTTGTTGTGATTTATTTATTAAATTTTTTTACCCAAATAAACTTACTCTCGTATTATGCTTCAGTTTCTTCCAAAATGTTTGTTCAAATGAATATTTTTCTTGACTTTGAATGCGCATGAATTTTGTTCAATTAAGAGATTGATAATTTCACAGTGAATGCACAAAGAGCATATTAACCTCTTCACCTGTTCCTTGTAACGAATAATCTTTCTAGACTTCACACAAACTTGGTCATGCCTCTATTGGTATAGCAGTTCATTTATTTATTTATTTTATTTTTTTTGAAGGTCGTGATATAAGGCACAATCTAATCTTGTTGCCTTGTGTTCTAGTTGCACTTCATTCAAGTTTTTTAATATAGAAGCAAAAAAACTTCGGACTTTCATGTATGCTCTAATGTCATTCCATATAGAAAAAACATATATATATCAAAATAATACCGTACTTCCACTCCTTATAAACTATAAGAAAAATATATACCTTTTGTTTTTTTAATGGCTATTTTTAAAGAATAAAGATCATATTTTTAAGTATGCCTTTCACTTTAACACATTTGTCTTATTTATAACTATATAAAATGACTAAAATTAGTGTTTAACCTCGTATTGGCGCACAAACCTTTCTATTACTTTGATTATCTTATTGTTTTTGGATAGATTTCAAGTTTTAAACCAAAGTTATTGTATTTCTTTGGCTTGTTTTAAAGCACAAATATAATTTTCCGATGATTTGTCCTATATATTTGATCACTTATTAAAACACATATATCCACAGATTTAATAGAGAGCACAAGAGTGGCAAGCTTCTTAATCTAATTTTTTAGCTAGTTTTCAAATGAATTGATTGCAAGTAATGAAATTCCTCAATATTGGTCTAGTTAATCACTTCAATACTATTCTTTACATACACTTTCGAAGTTTATGTGCTTTTTATGCATTACTCGCTCGCTATGCTTATTTCTTCAATTGTTTTCCCCAAAATAAACTTACTCTTTTATTATGTTTACATACTCTCATGAAATCTTTGTGCTTTTTATGCATGCTCTCATTGTGTTAATTATTCAATAGCGTTCCCCTAAAAAAACTTACTCTCATATTATGCTTCAACTTCTTTCAAAATACTTGTTCGAACAACTACTCCTCCCTACTTTCAATATGCGCGATTGTTCAATTAGGACATTGATAATTTCATAGTATGCACAAAGAGCAGATTGTCTTTACCTATTCCTTGTAATGAATAATCTTGAAGATTTCACAGAAACTCGAGCATACACACATTTATATCCACCAATTTGTGTGAATAATTTTTACTAGTACGCACTACTGTTTTTTGTGAATAAACTTGAGAATAATCCTTGCAATGAATAATTTTTACTGTGTGTATAACTCTTTGGATATGCACACATTTTTCATGAGAAAATCTTTTATGCAGCTATGTTTTGATGTTATTATGCTTTCACAAAAATAAGAGAAAATGTCATTCTGCTTTCAAGTTTGCTGGCGTGCATCTGATGTTTTCATGTTGTCTTTTCATTTCTTTTGAAAAATGTTCATTTGTCTTTCCAACTTTTCGCTTTTACTAATGAACAAATGTTTGATTATGACTCAGAGGTTGCTTCCCAGAAGACAAGCATCACAGGAACAAATGATGATGCCTATGAAACAAGCTATTGACCAGCAAATGATGGTTCCTGAGAAACAAACAGTAAGCAAGAAAATAATGATGGCACCACTGACTAAACAAACTGTAAACAGAAGGAACAGGTGATGCAGCAAATCAATGAGGTTGGTTGGGATTTACAAATGCCAAATTAAGCCGTTCTTTTGTTGGGTTTTGTAACGCCCTCAAAATAATACACATAAACCAAACATTCATGATATGCATAGACAAGAGAATAAAATATATTTCCATTCATCAGAGTATTCTTACAAAAAGTAATACATGTTGACAACAAAAGTAAATGCCCTATAGGCTAACTATATTCATTGTGCTGGTTTGGGAAATCTCATGTGTTTCCTCTTCCATGTAACACACCCATCTATTTTATACTTATCTATACACGTGTATAATAGTCTATTGTCATAGAAAGTTGATTGGTCACTCAAAATTATGGCTCCCTTAATATACTCTGGACATTTGAATCCAAGTTTATTACATTAAATTTTTAACTTTGTTTTGGTATGTATTGCTTGGTTCATTTTAATTTCATTAGATGAACAAAATGTGCACTTCAAGACCATCAGTTGAAGGTTTAGGTCTATCATGCTTGGAGCTCAAGATGCTATTTGGTGAGTTTCGAAAATAAAAAGACTAATATCTTTTTGAGTGACAGTATTGAAATAGGATGCCAATTAACAAAATTGATAGCCTTAGTCAATTGGTATTACACTGAACATTTAACATGTTACACATGTTGACACGAAAATATTTTGAATACCTTGTGAATCAGAAAAACTCATTTTTTTGCAAAGCATTCTATCGATGCAAACTTTGTGATTATAATATCTATGAAGACAAATTATGGATCAATGAAATTTTGTTATTATGACATGGACGGTGAAAGGAAACCTCAGCAAAATTGTTATTCTTAGTTGATAAAAACATATAACAACCCTCATTCTTGTCTTAGTTGTACTTATATGAATTTACATGATTTTATCTTATTAAGGTTGCATTTGCAGACTTTGATTTGTTTTGCCTAGTAAGAGTTCCTGTTTGGTTTTATGCTAGTATGTTTTGCCTAAGTGTTATATGCATGCTTTGTTCATTGCTTTGTATGTTGAACCTAGGCTATCTATCTTGGCTAACTCACGCCTAGGCCATACCTTTGAACCTCTTACACCTAGGCTGTTGTGCGTCAACATCTAGAATCATCTTGGAACCACCTTGGCTGACCTCCACCTCACCCCAGCATATTGGCCGAGATATGCATCATCTAGGCCAATGTGTGCATCACTTAGGCCGAGATGTATATCATCTAGGCTGAGATGGTTATCATCTAGGCATCCAACATCTTTGATCCTTGAACCTTGCAGCCTTGTTGTTTTTTTTTTTTTTGATCAGCAAAATAAAACTTTATTGATGAAAAAAGCAATATACATGCCACCAAACAACAACAAAGTTGGGAAGTGCACAGAGCATTATAGCTAACCTCCACGATCCCAACTAGGTTGGCATCGCAAAAGAAACACAATCATATGCTAGCACTAAACCCAAGATTGGTGAGAAACCAATTGAAACATCTAAAATGAGAAGACAAACAATAAAACAACTACAATGCAACAGAGCAACAACAATAATACAACAGAAACTTCTTTGTAATGCACCTATCTTCACAGACAAAAACAATAACAGCATAGACACTCCCAGACCAGCAATGACAATAAGGCTCCCAACCATTCTCTAGCTCAAGCCCCTCACATCACCCAAGAAGCAACATTTAAGTCCGAACACAAGCCTTGATCTAATGAAGATTAGTGACTATCTCTTGCACTGAATACTGCAACCCCGCAATATTCAATTTACTCCAAAGTGCTACCCTTACCTTCACCATCTCTGCTAATTCAATCCAATCTACTGGTTTGCCACTAGAAAGACATTTATTCCTTGCTTTCCATAATTACCACATAACATCTAAACATACCATGTTCCACATTCTAAGAACCCTCTTATTGAATTTGACTCCTGACCACCAAAGCAATACATCCTCAACTGAACCAGGTAAAGCCCACACCAGACCTCACCACTTCAACATATCAGACCAAACCTTCCAATCAAATGGGCAAAACAGCATAAAATGATGAACTGATTCCTCCTCTGACTTACAGAACATGCACAATGAATCATCTTCCTCATTTAACACTCCAAATTTTTTTAAAATAGCTGCGGTTTTAAGTCTACCTCTCCAAGCCAACCAGCCACAAAATTTTACCTTGAGTGGAGTAGGATTTTTCCACAATACCTTAGTTACACTGAGAGTTGGACCTTTTGAAGACATACACCACTTCTATGCTGCTACTATTGTAAATGATCCTTCTGGTTTGGCCATCCACTGACTTGAGTCGTCAGACTCCAAAGAGAGAGTAAGTGCATCCCTAAGCAGCTCATACAATCTTAGAACCTCCTCTTTCTCCCATTTTAACAATGATCTTCTGAAGATTAAGTTCCACTCATTTGAATGACTCATTCTTAGGTAAATCTGCTGAACAGTGCTACCTTTCTCCACTGATAACCTGTACAATCTGGGAAACTCCTTCTTCAGGCATAAATTGTTCAACCACTTGTCATCCCAAAATTGAATTCTACCCCTATTCCCTATAGATAGTTTAAAGTTTGATAAATAAAATTCAGCCAAAGCAGGTCTTCTATCAACAAGTTTAAGGATATCACTCCATACCTTGGACAGTAAAGCATTAGTAAAACTAATTGGAACCTAACTACCCCCCAGCACACCATACTTACAACACACAATCTTCTTCCACAGAGTTCTGTCCTCCACCCCAAACCTCTACCACCATTTAAGCAAAAGACAGTCATCCACTTCTCTAAGATTTCTAACCCCTAGACCCCCTTGTTCAATGTTTGTTGATATCCTCCTCTAATTGACCATGTGCAGTTTCTTCTTTGTATCAGAATCACCCACAGAAAAGTTGCCTGGATCTTATCCAACTGCTTAGCCATATCCATAGATAGTTTGAATATTGAAAAGAAATAGAATGGTAAACTGGATAAAACTGCCTTAATCAGTGTGATTCTACTAGCAAAGGAGAGCATTTTCCCTTTCCATGAAGCCAATTTCTTCTTTACTTTCTTAATCATTGGTTTCCAAGTACTCTTTCTTCTTGGATTGGCCCCAAGAGGTATGCCCAGATAAGTAATAAGAAGCTTCTGGTTATGGCAGTGCAATACTGAGACAAAATCTTTGATATCCTCCTTATCAGCACCAACCCTACACACCACACTCTTGTGAGAGTTAATTTTTAAACTAGACATCAACTCAAAACACCATAAAATTCTCTTTATAGTGACCAATTCCACCCTATCAGCCTCACAAAAAACAACAGTATCATCAGCAAACTGCAAATAAGAAAACTTCAACCCATTAGGCCCTACAGACGCCCCTTTTAAATAACCCAACTCCTTTGCTCTTTCAATCAGCAAATTCAAACCTTCAGCAACAATGTTGAATAAAAATGGTGATAATGGATCACTCTACCTAAGCCCTTTTTGAGGACCTCTCCCATTTTTTCCCAAAACCAAAATTCATCAATATTGATAAAAGAAACTCCCAATTTACTGAATCATAAGCCTTTTCAAAGTCCAATTTCAGAATAATTCCACTCATTTTAGCTGGTTTCCACCAATCCACCACTTCATTCGCAATTAATACCCCATCTACAATAAACCTTCCCCTCGAAAATACTGTCTGAACTTCACTAATAATAGATGACATTACTTTCTTTAACCTTCTAGACCATACTTTAGCTAAAATTTTGTAAACTGAATTAACTAAGCTAATAGGTCTATAATCACCTAAACCTTTGGGTTCTCTTTCTTTGGTATCAAAGTGATAAAAGAACTGTTCAAACCTGAAACCAGCTTCCCATTCTCATGAAATCCAGTCATGAACTATAGAATCTCACTCTTCATTATCTTCCAACACTTTTGAATGCATGCCGTATTAAACCCATTTGGCTTAGGAACTTTATTGCCATCACAATCCTGTATGGCCTCTCAAATCTCTTGCTCTGTGAATGCTGCTGCTAGATTATCATTCCGTATAGAATCAATAGATGAAAATATACTAGAAAGTTTAGGCCTTGAACACCACTCCTCAAGAAATCTTCTTGCAAAGTGTTTAACTCCATCTGGTTTCACCAACCTCACCCTCTCCTCCACAACTGAGTCCAATATATTTTTCCTTTTCCTAGAACTTGCCATCATATGGAAAAATCTTGTATTCTTATCACCACACTTAGCCCACACCATTTTAGACTGTTGGTACCATAAGCTCTCTTTTCTCCTATTCAAATTCCACACAATACTTCTTACTTCCCTCCTTCTGATCATTTCAGATTTAGATAGATTCCTTGACTCGGCTACCAAATCAAGTTCATGATACTCCTCCTCTACCTTGTTTAATTGAACATCCACATTTCCAAAAACCTCAAAATTCCGTCTTTTGAGATTGGCCCTCAGATTAGCTAACTTCCTCTTTAGACTGAAACCAGCCCAGCCTGGATCAAAAACTTCCTCCGAGGACTTCTTCACTTCAACTTTGAACTTGGGATGGAGTAACCAAGCATTAATAAACCTTATAGACATCTTATTTTTGACTGCCTTTAGAACTTGGACGTCATCACTTGCACATCCGATGATGAGTCTATACGCTTGTCAAGTGCTTGAAGTCCTCAACAGAATGCCATAACTTTGAGTCTTTCAAACTTTACACACCTGTTGCCTCATTTTTGGACCAAACCTAGTGTTATTCAAGCCTGTAACCCCACCTCTTTGGGCTGCCGGCCACCAGTGATAGCCGGCCGACCACCAGTGTCTTTTGCAGATATTTTGTGCCAGCTGTGCCAGATGTTTGCACATGTCATGACCCGAACCCGCCCCCGTGGGTTGAGGACATAACCGGCCAGTTATCATGAGATTACCTACGGTCTCAAACCAAACCAAACGTATGTTAACAGAGTTAATGGGGGCCAAACGGAAGCAGTTTAAAACTTTCTCCATAGAGCTGTTCTTACATGGTACATCATAACAAATCATACATATGCATATTAATAACTCACAACAAAATATGTACTACACAAGGTTCTGTACATACAGGATCATATAAGTCTAAGTTAACCCAAGAAAACTATATAAAACATATTCAAAGACTTCGCCCGCATGACAAAATAAAATAGAATGACAAAAAGGCGAAGACGGGTCTCTGTAGACGCGCCCGAACGTCCTGGGAAATCCCGTTTTGTTCATTGGGCTCACTATAGTTCGGACTCAATGTCACGGTTCTTAATCTGATCTTGCAAAGTGCAATGCAAGATTGATAAATCACCAAAGAGTCCAAATCCGGCAAATCATTTTGAAAAACTAATTTTTAGAAAGAAGTGTCAAACATGGACTGCTTTTCCAGATACACAGTCGCCACCTAAATATTTTATTTTTGGAAAATTTAGGAAACCCTGACTCGTGCCTAAGGCCACGTGTCCGTCATCACCAAAGTTGCCTCGGCTCGGGAACTTGGGTACGAGAGGGGATGGTCATGCAATGAGCACCCCCGCTCGCCCGATCAAAGATTGGCCTTTACTAACATGATATCTTGTTTTTGAAAACACATGTGCTCTTATTCCGGTTATTAACCTAGAATTACTACTTGATGCACACAGCTTACAAATATAGGCTGGATTGCCTAGATTGGAACAAAACATCTCATGTTTGTCTTTGAAAGCGGTTTTCTACTCGCAAGTAGGCTAAAGTACAGATTTTGCTACCCTCAATTGGGCTTAGAAAACACGGTGATCTGCCACTCTCAAGTGGGCTTAAAACTCGCAATCAATGAATTGTTCCAATTCAAGTAACCCAACCTTCACCCACAGGCATTCAGGCAGTTATATCACATAAGTAGTTAGCCTCATGGCAAGCATACTATCATGGCAGTCACTCACACACATGCAAGGATGCTAAAGCATAAACACTTACCGAGTACTCCGAGCCAAAATAAAAGCTATGTTAGAAATCAATGCATGATCCTAGCTATGTCAAGAGTGCTTGCCTAATGCAACACATACAAAATGCAACTAAGATAGGCTTGGCTATTCTAAAATATCATGTGAAATGCAATTTGATACATGTATTCAAACAGGAATTGAAACACAATGCAGTTAGTATGATGCGCCGAGCCCGGTGCATGCAAGACAAATGAATGGATGCAAACATGCGAGCATAAGGATGCTAATTGAAACGTGCCCTAAAACTAACCATCGTAAGCTAGTAAATAAAAGGGAGAAAGAAATGGGGATTGGAAGACATGCATTACACACATGCACACTTATTTACAACAGTTGTGCCCTCTCGACGGAGGGTCCGAATGAATAATACAGAACCGACTAGCTAATCTAAGCTAATCTAATCTAATTAAACTAGTTATTACACAACAGAATGAATAACAAGCTACAGCTAATTATTACACAACTGTAACTAATTAACAAATTAACTAAGTTAGCAATTAAATAAGCATATAAACTATATGATGTAGGCTGCCTCAGCTCTGCTTTGGATGACAAAGGATGCATGCATGCTCGAGTCGCCTTGTTCGGAAATCCCTCGCGACGCCCCGACTTGCCTCTATTTGTAATTGATCTCAAAAACTTGCACCAAGCTCCAGAGAGATGAAAATCCACCTTGGGAATCTGTAGGGATGCTGCCGACCAGATATTGGCCTTGGAGACCATCGGCCGACCAATTTTTGTGGTGAAAACCAGAAAAAGTGGTAGGCCAGCCACTTTATCTGGTCGGCCGACCAGTTTTTGCTGATGGTTTCTGGTTTTCTGTAAGAGAGGGCAAGAAAGGGGCGTGGCAATGTATTTGTAACACATGTATGCGCGACCACCCTCCCTATCATTACATAAGCTCAAGGGAGTGTAGGTCTCAACCCTCGGGCCACCAATCGCATCTCGATGCATGATGGCCGAGGGGTCGAATTGCGTAACTCCATATGGAATGAATGCACATACAAACACCTAAAGCCTAGAACTCCGTCATGTGTAGTCAAGAGTGTCGGCGACCGGGAATCGAGGTACGTTTCATCACTTCGAGTATGAAACGTGCCTCGTTTCCCGTGTTTGGGCTAACTCCTATCCCAAACACAATGCAGCAAATCATTTCATGCACAATGCAACCTCAAGTATGCAACCTAATGCGATACAACATAGACATGCAAACATACAAGGGATGGACTTGCAAACATGCAACTAGCATACACAATGCTCTGAATTACATGGCATACTCAATACACAATGGACTTAAACCAAGATGGATAGGCCTCAACCATGTCCAAATCAGTGGCCAATGGTAATGAAATCAAGGCAATAAAACACATAAAAGCATGCACAATGCAAGGGCCCAAGCCTAAGGCACAAAACACAACTTTCCAAAAGTATTGAAATGATGCAACATGGAGTACAATGGCATATGTACCAACACTAAAATGGCATACAAAATGACTTCAAATCATGCAAACAACTCACGCAATGCATGTCGAAAGGCTCAAGTATCAAAAGCTAATGAAGCATGTTACACTAGAGACATGCAAGGCGATACTCAAATGACCAAACCAACCCCAAACAGACCCTACGTAGGCTAAAACAGTAGCAAAATGAGTTGGGATGATGGCTTTGAACGGCACAAAAATGGGGCTCATGCGATGGCTCACAAATAGGGCATAAAAACATAACTCTAAAGAGCACTCAAAGGGTGGAAAAATATGGAATTATGGCGACCCTACATGCTCTGAAATAACATTCCCGATGATGCCAAAACAAGCAAGTATCTCGAGTTAAGCATGCAAGAGACCACAAAACTCAAAGCTAGTCAAGGCTATTTCACAACAAGCATGCATGGCAAGTATCATTCGACCAAGAGGCCTCAAAATAGAGCTAAGACAGTCCAAAATATGAACATGGTCATGTTGGAGCATGGCCAAAATATGCTAGAATAAAGAGCCAAAACATCATGCGAACCAAGCTAGTAAACACGATTTACACTACAAGCATATGGAGCATGTGAAAGGCTACTAAACCAGCCAAAAATAGAGCCATGATATGTCAAATGATGACCAAAAATCCACTGAAATGGAGCTAAAACATGCTAGATTGACATGCTACCTTGATGAGCCATAAATGGGAATACACTACACATATGAGAAGCATGCCAAGGGTGACCAAACCAACCATGGACAGAGTATAGGCAGACCCTAAAATTCACCAAAAAGTGCCTGAACCAAGCCTTGAAAGAATGAAAATGTATGTTCCTTTGATAGTCCAAAATGCAAGTAAACAAGACAAAAAGAGAGAGGGTCACCCCTCTCTGATTTAGGACCTCAAAACCACATGCCAACCACTGAAAATCCACTGGATTTCAGTGGTTAAAAGTCCAATCAAGGATTAGCTCAAAGGCCCTAAGGCATGGCACAAAACAAGGCCAAACAAGGCGTGCAAGAGGGTAGGAGACCCTCAACACCCAAGAGGCCTTAAACAAACATGTTAAGTGCTCAAAAATGAAGCTTTTTTAGTTGAAAACAAAGCTCAAATAAGCATGCAAGTATGGATAAGAGAATGATCAAGACAAAGCTTAAAAGGGGAGAAAAGGGATTACCCTTGAAGCTCAGCAAAACCAGCAGATTTTTGAACCAAAAAACCAGCTTTTCAACCTCCAAAAAGGTCCTCCAAGAGCTTTAGTTCAATGGTGGGGTGTGTGGTTAAGAGTTGTAGTGTAAAGGTGATGAACAACACACATTTTAGGCACCAAATATAGAGATATAGAGGGAGATATACACTTGTTCCTTAGGCAAAACTCAGAACCTCTGGAATGGAGAGGGAGACCCTCTCTTATAGAAAAATAAAGGGTTCAAGCTTCTTGGAGAAGTTAAACTTGGATGCAATCCCTCCATACACGTGGAGGATACAGTCTGTGCCCTCCAGCTGGCACAGCTGGCATCCATACAGTTTGCCAAAATAAGGGAAAAGCTGCCGACCAGAAAAAGTGGTCGGCCTACTACTTTTAGTGGTCGGCCGACCACCCAAAGTGGTTTTCCAGGAAAAAAGTGGTCGGCCAGGGGAAATGGTGGTCTCCACACTGAAAGCAAGCCAATGGTGGGGTGGGAAACCAGAAAATGTGGCCTAACGACCAAGAAAACCAATTTCCCGACCAGAAAATCGGTTGACGGGGAGAAAAGTGATCTCCAAGGAAAAAGCTAGTCTCCCACCCTTGTATCACTTCTCAAACAAGGAAAGTAAGGTTTGTACCCAAGACAAACCAAAACGGATGCAAGACGAGGGTTCGGGAGGCAAGACGCACGGCCGGGAGCCTTGAAAACCAGCTGCCGAGCATCAAAAGTGGCGTACGACCACAAAAGTGGTCTCCTGGACCACAGTGTCCCTCTAGACAGAGGAAACGAGGTGTGTTTCAAAAATCGTGCCAAACGGAGAATGTTAAGCAGTCCCGAGCCGAGGCGCACGACCGGCGGCTTCGAAAATTAAAAACTAGTCTCCAAATGGGAACAGTAGCCTACGACCACGAAAAGTACCCTGCGACCACTG